AAAAATTCGTACACACTTTCGCAAGGACTGTCGCGAAACTACGTTCGAATTTTCGTTTTGCAGAACCTCTCTACTGAATCTTTCTTTAGCAACATGACGGCAACTGAAACAGCAACAGAGAAAGTACGATACATGTACTGCACATTCTTGCAGGTACTACAAACAGATTGCAGATCGTAATTCTTGCTTTGGCGGCACGAAACTTTATTTGGGGCAGTGCAATCTCGGCGGTACTCACAAATCAAACAGCCCAGACTCGAGTAAACAAATGCAATCATACAACTTTACAAGTACACAGAGGGTGTGCGCCTTAACCTGCAATAGTGCTCAAATGCCCGGAATGGGCAGAGCGTAGTTGTCTGATGATTGGTTTTTGCCATGAAACTCTGAGTTACAACAAAAAACAGCCCTATATACTTCCTTTTGTGTACCTCTTGCGCAACTTTACAAGTACGAGATTTTCACGAGACGAGACTGCACCCATTGGCTTGTTTCGTATGAAGCAAACAAGTTACTGAACCTCTCCACAATGGAGATTTCCCCTGATATGCGAATTTATTTGGCAAACTCGGTCAATGAGTCCTTGAACCTTTCCCTCCAGATTGGGAACTGCCAACGATAGTATGCCACTGACCAGTGCCTTACTTGTAACGTACTAATGTGCAATGAATATGAGTATTTCGACAACACATCTTTACTTATAAAGAAGAGGCACCTGTGACGTGTGTCTGTGTGTTACGCACAGGCCATCCTGCGGAGCAGCGCTGCCCTGATCTGAGCACGCGAAGCGTGCGAACAGTGTAGCTAGCGGCCGCAGAAGCACTGAGCACGCGAAGCGTGCGAATCGTGTAGCTAGCGGAAGCAGCCACAGAAGCACTGAGCACGCGAAGCGTGCGAATCGTGTAGCCACCACCACGTGCTGAGCACGTGTGCTGTTCATGCCACGTTCTAGCTAGGCCATACTATACTAAAGAAGAGGCACCTGTGACGTGTGTGTGTGTGTAGGTAGCAGACAAGATCAGTACGAGTAGCAGTAGCAGCCGCGCGCAGAAGCACTGAGCACGCGAAGCGTGCGAATCATGTAGCCACCTAGCCTAGGCCATAGGTACCGGTAGCACTAGCAGCCGCGCAAGCGCTGCGGACCACGTGAACCGTTCTCTGCAAATAGAAACATCTGCAACAAAAGGATACGAAAGATCTGCACTGACTGCACTCTGCATCTGATCTGCAGTGAAGAGCGCATCGCACTTTTGTTCGTAATTTTATGAATTTTTTGAGCCGCTTCATCCGCCACCAGGTGATGGACAACCCTGACCAGCCTCCCGAAGGCGTAACAGACGTCCCTCCTTCTCCTTCCAACGATGAAGAACCTCCCTCACCAGGACTTCAGCGGTCTGGCCACCACCACGTGCTGAGCACGTGTGCTGTTCATGTACTTGCTTCACCGGCATGCCACGTTCGGCCAGGCAACGCTGGCCGGGGGTGCTGCTAGTCTAACATAAGCCTTACCGTCAAGAAGGTGAACTCGCGTTCTTCGCACACTGTAGGCAAGGGCAAAGAGATAAAAATCGATCTAAATCCGAATAAAATCAGCACACGTTTCCGTAAATGAAAGGGTGAGCATAAGCAAATGAATCGAAGGAAACTGGTCAACTTTCAAGCCATTTGGTTTGTCTCTTTGAGTGCCGGAATTGTGCTGCCCGGTACGTTGGTAGGACTCTTCAACACCTGAAATCACGTATCAGACAACATGTGCCGTTGCACTTATTACCACCAGCAGCCAGAGCAAAGAGGCCAAAGCGTGGTAGACCGTGTAAGAACCCAGTTAGCTCAGTAGACAAACACGCTGCGCCGACAGCGCCGCCTGTTCCCGTGTCACCACCGGCCCCACCACCTGGGGTGCCGTGGGTGGCTGGGGCTGGGGTGGGTTTGCCATCATTGACCTGGCCACCACTTCTCGACCCACTGCAAACGGCAGCGGAGCCTACTCTAGCACAACATCATCGTCCTGGAATGGAGGAGGAGCCACCGAGACACACTGAACCTTCACCTCGGCAGTTGCCCTTGCCTCCGCCTGAGCCACCCCCTTTACCTTTGGTGACTACCGAGACGGTGGTCCCCCGGTGCTGGGATCCACGGTGCCGACTGTGTCTGGACAGAGAGGGAGATCATCGACAAACCAAAATGAAACCAATATCCTCACCCATAGACCCAGAAGAAGCACAGCAAACTATTCACTTGAAATTTATGCACGGAATGGACTTGGCCCACGCAAAATGGACAGTGGAAATGGGTGTGCAGTAGCAGAGAACCCAGCAACGGTGACGCGGAGCAGCGGTCAAACGACTTGTGATGCTGGTGGAGATGATGGAGCCATGTTGGAGGCAGATAAGGAGTGCAGTGAGACTGAGCATCAAACGGATGATGAGGAAGTGACTGATGATGATGATGGTGGTGATGAGGACGATGATGATGAAGATGAGACGGAGGACGAGGATAAGGCGGAGGAGGTCGAAGGAAAGGAGCGGGATGAGACGGAAGAGAGCGACGTGAGCAAAAAGTCAGCTGTATTTTGTCACTTGTTATCACGTCCAGATTGTCTTGGTGTGTACGATGATTCTCACTTTTCTGTTTTGTGCCGTGCAAGTTATGTTAAGCAGTTGAAGGTTCTGGAAGCTGTATGTATTCGTGTGCATAATCCTGTTCTTTGTAAACAAAAGAAGCATGTAGTCGCGCTAAAGTTGTTCTCGTAGCTGGTTATCAGATGTAAATGTTGTGTCATGTTGCACTGTATCACCTCTTGCTTTGTGGCTGCACTCAGTTATATACGTTAGCACTATGTTTGACACCTATTATGTAATGCTGTAGCACTTCCTTTGTTGTTCACACTTTTAATTAATTTTGCTGTTATAAAATGTTCTATTGTTGTACACAGTACCCTCAGTTCCGATACTATTCACTGATGAGCGGAACACGAAAATCGATTTTGAATAACATAAAAATCCTTAAAAATTCCATGAACTCGTTGTTGTCTGGCCATGTCTGCATCGATTATACTCCTAATTGCACTAAAAAAAAAAAAAGGAAATTATCGTGTCCGTTCCCAAAGGGAACTCACGACGGCCGCTAACACCCGATAAACCCTACCCAGGCAGGCACAGTGGGTTGGTCAAAGACCATGGTTGAGATACGAGAGGTACCTGGTTCAAGTCCTGCCTGGGAGCGGTTTTTCCAGCCGTGCTGCTACCCACAGTCAACTGGGAACATGTGGCCAGGCACAAGGGGTACATGGATGCAGCTAATGGGGTCGTTTTCGGCACTTGTGCCAGTGGTTGTGAGACTTATCCACTCACCCCCACCGTTAGGCGCTGCATCTGCCGCTAGGGTTTATAGGGTTTATTGACAAAAATAGCACTTGAAAAATAACGCTAGTGTATTCGACCTGAAGAGTAATGGAATGAAAGGCCTAGTCGAAAAAATTATAATTTAATATGGCTTCTGTGCTTCGTGTGCTGATTTGCTTTCCTCCAACCAAAAATCTAAGAAGAGTAATAAGGCTAAAGCGGTGAGAGCGCATGTTTCGAGGAAATCAAAAATGAATACTAGTGGGTAGTAGCAGGGAGTGTTAAAATTAGTGCTGAAACAATTATATCGAGAGAGGGGCGCAGGTTGGTCACTGCACTCGAATGACATCCGTGGACAGGCGTGCACGTTCGCAGTTTGGAGCTTTGAGAAGCAAATAAGTAAGTCGTCATCCCATTGTTTACTTTTGTCCCTTTGCCTCTGGGTGCATGCTAAGTGATTGTTACGACAATGTTCCTTTTCTCTTTCGTCCACGTGTGGTTCACGCATGCATCACCGCATTTGTTAGTACAGTTCACGCTCCTTGCTGCCAGTGCGGGTCTCGAACTCCTGATTATCACGTAACCGGCAGGGTTAAAAAGCACCAACAATGGGATGTCACTTAAAGGGGAAGTGCGGTGAAAAATTTAAATTTCACAGCCTGTAGAGCTCAGTTTGATTTTGATTTTCTCCGATAACCATGGATTCCTGGAGCGGAGGTGCCTCTAGAGCGTAGATTGTTGGAGCTGTGGTTCGAGGCCAAGACAAGGCACCAAACTCACGACTCAATTCATTAAGAAAGGTACGAAGAAGAGAGTGGATTGCGAGAGAGTTGAAGAACAGCAACCGGCGGAACAGAAAGCTCAACATCAGGAGACACCATCACCCGAATCATCGCGTCCATGCACACAGAAGAAATAAAAAGAGCACGAAGTCGCAATTCAGGACCCGGGCTTCCTTTGCTTATTGTTGTTGTTGTTGTTGTTGTTGTTGTTGTTGTTGTTGTTGTTGTTGTTGTTGTTGTTGTTGTTGTTGTTGGTGTTGTTGTTGATTTTTACTTCTTCATCAAAACTGAACACAAGTTGTAGATCGCCATTGTTCTGCTTTCCGATATCTTGCAAACGGTGTGTTTGGAGATATTCAAAATTTGGCGGGCAAAAAACAAGCCGTTCAGGCTTTGCACTCGATGTCTGGTGTGACCGCTCGACAGGGAGCACAAAAGCCTGCTGAGCGCCAGCGAAACACTCACTCACGTAACCCTCACTCCGAGTTACCCTCACTCCGAGTAAGCCTCACTCACGTGACCCTCACTCCGATCCGAGTAAGCCTCACTCCGAGTACATGACAATTGTACTATATGTAGTGGTGAGTACCCAGCTGACTCTGACGTGATTGTCCGCGCAGTTCCTTGTATCTGGTTCACGCATGCATCACCGCATGTGTTAGCACAGTTCACGCTCCCTGCTGCGAGCGCGGGTCTCGAACTCGCGACCTTGTGATTCGCAGGCAAGCTTATAACCCCTCGGCTAGGCTAGTACGTGTACTGTAGGGTTTATAAAAGCCTGCGACATAGATTTGAGACCAGTTTCAACTAATGCCTGAGACAAGATTCACCGTTGTTTACCAGTGAGTGTCGCTGGACGCTAGCCTTAGGATAAATTTCGTACTGATTGTTATACCGTTTTGTCAGTATTGATATAGTGAACAGTATCAGAGGAGAGGCACAGCTTCCCAGAAGATTGTTTACCCTGCAAGAGAAACGCCGTCTGCCACTCCTGCAGTAGTATCAAAAGGCGCAATGAGTTCAGTAAAAAATCTTGTTACGTTCCCAGCGCTAAGTGAAGTCACAGATGCAGCGGTCCGGTCTCCGATGGAGCGAGATACACAAAAGGCAAGTGATGGCGACGAATCACACGGGAACGGCATCGAAGCATTCAATCTGCTGAAGACTCTCGGTAAGGGCAGTTACGGCACTGTATATCTCGCTGAGAAGAAGAAGAACAAGGACCAAGTGTACGCTATCAAGGTGCTACAGAAGCATACGGCTATCGAGAAGAATATTGTAAGGAGAACCATCAGTGAGAAGAAAGTTCTGGCTATTGCGGGTCGCCATATGTTTTGTGCGAAAATGTTTGAGTGTTTTCAAACTGCCAGCAGGCTTTTCTTCGTTATGGAGTATATCGGCGGCGGAGATCTATGGTTTCACTTGGAAAAAGAAAGAAGTCGCCGTTTTGGTGAGTCCACAACTCGCTTCTACTCCGCTCAGATAGCGTGCGCCCTACTTCATCTGCACCGTTCAGGAATCATTTACCGTGATCTGAAACTTGAAAACGTCATGCTGAGCAGTGATGGACATATCAAAATAACAGACTTCGGTGGGAGCAAAGTAACCCTGGGAGCCACAACATCAACATTCGTCGGCACGACTGAATATATGGCCCCGGAAATGGTCAGAAGGACAGCTTACAACGCGTCTGTTGACTGGTGGGCTCTTGGCGTTCTGATGTTTGAGATGATGTTTGGCTGTGTGCCCTTTAGAGGCGCAACAACAGAGGTGATATTCCGAAACATTGAAGCCCAGCCGGTGATATTCCCAGACACCAACTGCAGTAAACATTGCGAAAGCGTGTTGCTGAGTTTGATGCACAAAACTGTTAAGCAGCGTCTGGGATGCACGGCTGGGTCGCAGGTACAAACGCATCCGTTTTTCGAGTCAATACGGTGGGAGGCGCTAGAAAGGGGCGACATCAATCCGCCCTTTATCCCACCGTTTGACTCGAAGACGGACACATCAAACTTTGACACGGAATTTACGGACGAGGTCGCCGTTCTCGAGCCCATTGACGAATGGATTGTGGCCCGGATCGACCAGTCTAAATTCAGAGACTTTGACTTAAGAGATTAGCATTGCATTCCGTGGAGCCAAATTAGGTTAGCCGACACACGGTTTCGTTACTTAACAGCTCCAGTTGTTATTCAAACTGTGCTCTTTACCGCCTTACCTAGGAAAATCTCCGCTGCATGTGTTTGCTATATTCATTGACTGAGAAATATTTGCTGTGTGCCACAGGCTTCCAGGGTGCGATTGGTGGAAAGTTTGCCATTTTAGCGTGGCCATTTCTTAATCTGTTGCTGATGTTGTTGTTGTTGTCGTCGTCGTCGTTGTCGTCGTCGTTGGTTTTGTTGTTGGTTTTGTTGTCGTTGTTGTTGGTTTTGTTGTCGTTGTTGTTTTTATCGTTTTTGAAGTATTAATTCTCACGATGGCACCATCGCCAATAGGATTTTTGGTATTGTTGTTGTTGTTGTTGTTGTTGTTGTTGTTGTTGTTGTTGTCTTCGTCGCCGTTATGGTAACAAAGATTGGGCATTGGGCATTGTTTTTTTTCATTTATCATTGTTTCGATTCATGTCTTTTTCGTTCATTCTTTGATTCTTAGTACTGTATAGGTTAGTATTTTCGCTGGTCTACAGCTCTTCATTTTTGGCCACCGTGATCCTGCTTTTCAACTTAGCTCCGCTGTTCATTTTTATGCTTCCACAATACCATCTTGTCATTGGTGACAAAAAACTGGTTTTCTCCCTGCTACTGCGTCTGCCTGTGCGAGCTATATTTTTTCTAGGCGGTCTGGGTCCAGGGGCATAATTATGTGCAATCAGCTGCTGCAAAGGAACGTCTATTGAGATTTTCAAGTGGCTAGTCACTAATCAATGCGTTCATGGCGTTGCTAACCTTCCTTCATCTTTGGCGTGCTTTGATTTCATTGACCCTTTTTACTAGTAGGCTTTACCCAAGTCAGCCGGCCGAAAACGAGACCGATTGAAAAATGGCTAAGCTTTATATCGCTAATTTTAGAGGATTGCTTTGAGACCCGCCGAAAATCTACCAAATGTTGCAAATTGTGTTTTCGAACGAATGTTGCTTCCAAAATCTCAACTATTTTGAACTCAATATGCCAACAATTTAGTCAGTTTTGAGTGTCACCTGTGTCCCTGCCCTCCCACCCTTCATTTCTGTGCATAATTAATATCTCAACAATCGACGTAATATTGCCGTACTAATTCCATGGAGAACGAGCAGACTAATCTAGTTCCCCTCTCGGAGGCAAGGAGAGACAGGAGGAAGCACAAGCACGGCACAGAACAAATCAAGGAGAGGGAAGCGGTGTCGCGAGGAGATGGAGACTGATGATAACGAATACGAGGACGATGGGATGGACGGCGGCATTGGAGTGGAGGTGGAGGATGAGATAAGTGATGAGGAGGTGTTTGATGTTGACAAGAGGAAGTCTGCAGTGTACAAGTATTTGGTGTCCAGTCCAGAATGTCGTAAGGTGTTTCACAATTCAAGGTTTAGTGTTAATCGAAGCTGTGTATATTCTTACTCGGACCCTGTGCTATGTAAACAGAAAGAAAACGTTGTATCACTCACACTCTTCAAGTAATACACACGCACCATTACATTCATTCACACAGTATCCATTCATCTGCCACTACCTTTCTCACACACACTATATTCACACATTGCAAAGATGCAAACTTCGCTTTTTGTACTTGCTGGCTGCTGTATGTTTACATGAAACCATATTAGCTACATGTATATAAGTGTGCGTTTTAGTTATTACATTTTATGTGACGGCGTTCCACTGATGACAGTCACAAGAAAACGGTATGGAACTTAACTTTCTTCAATTTTTGCTGTTGTTATGAATGCACAAGTTATCTTATTTATCGCCATTCTTAATATCATTGCTTTTTTATCACTTTGTGCCGTGATGTGATTGCCATGCCTACAGGATGCCTAATCGCCATTGGGGATATACACCCGGTTTTTTCCCTCACAACTGCGTCCGTCGGCGCGAGGGTTTTTTCCCGGCTGGCTCGGTCCAGGGAAATTAATCTGACGGTCCCAAGTGGTTCTGCATTATTGCCTATTTCTGCCATCCACTGGCACGCCTATTCTATCTTAGACACTGCGTTCTCAGTCCTTGCTTCCATGCCTCACTCGTTATCTGGTTCACATCTGGCTGAGGCCAACTACCATTCACTTTGTGTGTTGTCGCTATTGCTGTCTATGTCTCTGTGTGTGCCAGTATATGTGGAGCAAGAAGCTCTGTCGCAATATTTAGTTATTTCACCCATTAGCACTATATTGATTGCTTATATTTGACTGCTTATGGGTTGCGCAGTTGAACAGTGCCTAGTGCAGCATGGTCACTGTATGAGTAGGTGTTGGTGCAACGGTTGTGCAATCATGAAACTGGGATTCATGAGGCAATCGTTCTGCAATTTGAAATACCGACTGTTTGTCGTGATAAATCTAATATTGACTTCGTATTTGGTCAGTATAGGAATAAAAAGCCTCGTAAAAAGCCTCGGCTTCGCCTCGGTCTTCTACTCGGCTTTTATTTCCTATATAGACTTCGTAATCAGTCAATATTAGATACGTAATCTACTCTTGATTTTAGCTATCTTCTTCTTTGCGCTGTTTCATCACGTCGCTACTGTACTTAATCCACTGTTCTTGTTAGTTTTCCTTTGCCTGTATTTCACCTGACGAGAAGCCTTGAAAGTATACTTTGTCAAGCTGAACACTTTCAAGATGTTCGTACATGTATTTCGAAGTATGCTCATTGGTATTGACAGTGTCATTGTGTGCTGGCAGCAGTGGCATATTCTGTCAATGAATTGATTGCAATCTCTTATTGCCGATGGTGCAATCGTGAGAATAAATACTTCGAAATAATTCAAGCAAACAAACGAACAATAACGCAAAGTTGTGATAAAAGCGAAGAAAGAGGATAGATAACGTGAGGTTGTTTGCTGTTAATGCTGGATTTCTTTTTCTTCATAGCCTCAACAGTGCAATGTACAATTCCCAAATTTAACATTGAGAATGGCGGAGAACTCCGTTGCAACATACAAATGTGAAACTCAATAACCTACTGGCTTGGGGGAAAGATGCAAACAGGAAAAGTCTGAAGAAAACATTTACTGTCACCACCAGGACTGAAAAAGGGACCTTCAATTGAAGCCAGCGGTGCTCTAACCACTGAGCTATGGTGTAGCTGTTATCCAAGCAGAGACGGTATCCTCTCTTAATAACTGAAAACTGAACACATCATAGTCCTGTGTCTGACTCCTCGAGTATACCCACCATGTGCATGTGGTTGGCTATAACAATTAGGTTGGGCAAAGATTGCAAATTGCATTGCCAATAATGATGGGTAGGTAACTGAATGAATTCTCCGTTGAAAACTATTGTTCTAAGTGTGTTGGTGGATGGTAACCGCCTTCAGAAAACAACTTGAGTTTTCACTATTCCCTGGCCATGGTGTGGATAATTACGCAGCAGGGAGTTGTTTCAAATTTTACAGTGAGATCGATATTAATTTTCTAACGCCCAGGTTTAATAGTAATAAACAGAGTTCGCCATGTAGCCCAAATGAAACATATGGGGTTATCGCACCTGTCTGCAGGACAACGTTTGGTGCAACATTCGAATCTGACGTAAAATTGAAAGTAGTCCACATGCCTCTTCGTAGGGCTGTGTTCCCAAAAAAAAATAAAAAATAAAATAAAAAGTAGCTAGTATGGGCTACCTGGACAGATTCACAATTTCTTTGGACCACAATAAATTTGTGAGCACACTTGGATTTGATCATTTGAAATATTCAACGACTTTCAATGCTAATAACTACGCCATTCCGTGTCAAATCCCGCATATTGCACCCTCAGTTTGCCAGAACAGCGCATGAATCTTTCCGCGTGACAACCTCTTCACCAGTACTGTATTCAGTTCTGAAGATGGTTGTTCCCACGAGCTCTAAGTTCGTGTATTCAGTTCATTACTTTGAAAAATTGTCTCTAACTATTACCTATCCACTTCACTGCAATGCGGCGTAGATTCCTCCAAATTTCTACCAAGTGATAATATCCTACAGATTGTTCAGAATGTCTTCACCATACCAAAAATAGGCTATACTAGTATTCATGACTCCTCTAAATCATCTTATATTATTATTTTTTTTATTATTATGTACTTTAACATGAAACTTGGGTATTGAGCCAATAATAAAAGTAGAAAGGAAAAGGACATATGGAAACGAGTTAAGAGTAACTCTCCACCACTGTAACTAGATACTATATACTGTCAGAAAGTGCAACAACTAGGCACAAAACTGACAGAGTACTGAGGCATTCGACGTCCTGACACCTAGCTTCGACACATCTCCGTAGCGCTAACCGACGTACTCTGTCAGTTTTGTGCCTAGTTGTTGCACTTTCTGACTGTATATAGTATCTACTTGGTCCGTTTCATCGCAATTGTCGCTTATCTATCGCAACTAAGAACAAGAGTTATTTTATCGCTCTGTAAAATTTCCAATACGCATAGTGAAGAAGCATGATACAGGATGCCTGTCCGCCACAATAAAAATTATTCAGCGATGGAATCTGATGAAGCAAGTCGAGAAAGGAAGCAAGGTTACAAAAATGTACAAAATAAAACAGCGACGGAGCGCGTTCTTGCACTCACGCTTTAGTTTATCCGACTCTGGCTCTGTATCACTCGAGCTGATGTCACTTGAGCTGACATTCGCTGGTGTGTATAGCTGCTGGCGCCATGGCGTAGAGTATATCTTGCTTTCTCCGCTTTGCGTATGGCAGCGATGGGAAAGGAACAATCGTGGCTGTCACTCTGGCACTTGGAGGAACGTGGGCAGCGTGACCCGTGTGTCACCACTGTGTGTTTCAACAATGTTTTTGAATCAGGCACACATCCCTCACCAGACAGCTGTCATACGCTCTGCTGGATACGCTGACCACGACTCTTGTACTGCAGCTGCCAGGTCGGACAATGTCTTCTTTGCCACCAATTCGCCATCAGTTTGCAGGCTTGCAAAGAGTGCCAGGTCGTCGCACTTGCAGTTCAAACGTGGCGACTGAGCTGGCAGGCCTGGCCGTGACTGTCACGCTCTCAAGGTCAGGATGTCGATTTCCCCTGCTACAGTTCCGGTCTTTGAGCTGCGTTTGGCTTTTCGCTGCAGCGAATGTGTGCATTCACTGCAGCGAAAAGTTCCCCACTTTCCCAACACAATCGTACGAATCGCGATGCCACTGGCGCTAGTCGCGATGGTTTTTTCTTTCTGGTCTCCTTTGATCTTGCCTTCACAACCTCCCAAACAAATGGGAGTTAGATATCGAGATCGGGCTGGGATTTACCTGTCAAAAGGTGCTTGGGAGATAAGCGACAATTGCGATGAAACGGACCAAGTAGTTACAGTGGTGGAGAGTTACTCTTAACTCGTTTCCATATGTCCTTTTCCTTTCTACTTTAACATGGTTGATAAATATGGTGGTAAAGACACACCTGGCAATATGGCGGTAAACACACGCCTGCCCACACACGCTCTCTAGGCTGCAAAGTTCTGGCACAGAGCTCTCCTTCTCGCCACCACCACCATCAGTTCGCTTACCCCCATATTGCCAGGTGTGTCTTTACCACCATATTTATCAACCATAAGTACAGCTGCAGTGGTGTCTTCAACTTCATTCTACTTTAACATGCTTGGACATAGTCTTTGCCTTCCATGGCATTCAAGTACTTCTTGGGTGCTGTGTGTAAGGTGGAATAGGGAAGCGTCCTTGGGGAATCTGATCGCATGACGCTACAGGTTATGCTAGTACGGGAAGCTGTACATGGTCAGAGATGATGATGTACATTGGTGACGCTCCAGACCCCAGATGTGGCTTTGCGTTCACTAATCGCGTCAACTTCGCATAAGTATGTCTTTGGAGACAATTTTTCTTCTGTCAGCGTGCAAAATCAAGTACCCAGAGAACTTTTTCTTCTCAGAGGCAACCCGTGATGATTGTGCCAGGTTCAAACCGAATTTATGCATTTGACTTGCATTGTAAGCGCTCTGTTGGTCGACTCTGCAACGTACATTCCTACATGTACAGTGTTGACAACTGAAATCCGAACCCCTTGCCGGTGCGGCGCCCCGCCAAGGGGGTCGGATTTCAGTTGTCAACACTGTACGTAATTATAGCAATAAAAACTGCTTTATGGCAGTTTTCTAAAAAAGATTATTGTGTTCTAGTCCATGGACCCCGTCTAAAAAGTAAGAAATTAACGAAATGTGATAGCCGAAAATTAAAATTTCACACAAAACCTCACAATAATCACAACACTTGAAATGCTGCTTTCAACACTAAACTTGTACTGCACCAACAATTGGCAACATGCATGCATAGGAAAGAGGATCACGAGGAGAAAAGGTCTTCTACGGTACATGTAGCTTTTCATTCTGTGTGTGATTATTGTGAGGTTTTGTGTGAAATTTGAATTTTCGGCTATCACATTTCGTTAATTTCTTACTTTTTAGACGGGGTCCATGGACTAGAACACAATAACCTTTTTTAGAAAACTGCCATAAAGCAGTTTTTATTGCTATAATTTCTTTTGTTTTTTCTGTCACCAATCAATGGAATGCCCTATCATTAGGCTATCAATAGTGATGGCCTTAACATCATATCAATACCGTATTTATACGCATGATGTGCAAGCCTCTTCTTGCAGAAAATGGCACTAGCATAATGCATGTTCTTCTGCGGGGAAACATGCGAGTCATGGTCTGGTGGTGGTACTTTTTTATACGGAGGTCATTCTGAGCATGTTGCAACTTGCTGTTGCAGAATTTCATGACCCTGTCATAAAAATTGTCTTGCCTTTCAGATATTTCAGATTTCCCCACCCTCGATCAGATTTATTTGAGAAATGTAGCCAGGTGCGTGTCGCAGATGTTTTTGTTGATTCTTTGTTTATAATGGTTTATAATCATGGGGTATCGTGATAAGGTCATCCTGCAACATATTGCACTGCAATGGTAATCCTGTTGATGCCGATACAACTTTTGGAAGTAGTTTAATGACTTCAAACTGTTAGTCCACGATTTTCTAAAACAACACAGCAAAGGAGAAACAATAAA